AAAAATAAAATTTTTCATTGGATCACTACAAAACTATAGTTGTAATAAAACTTGACATGATGGTTAAATCTTGTAAAACTGTCCAATAAAACTCTTATAAAAAATTATGTATGTATGTGTGTTTTTATTTTCTTTTATTTTATTTATTTTCAACGAATATCTATGCAATTGATCACCAATGATAAAATCAACATAACAATCTTTGATCAATATTCATAAGCATATATGAGCTAATAAATATAATAGACTTTTGCTGTGTGAATCACTGCAATTTAATAATATTTGTACCAAGAAACTATATGTAGAAATACTACTGACATGAGTTTTTACGGTTTTTGAAACATTTGATGACATACATTTATTAATATTTTTTGATGCAGCATTAAGCATGAACTTACAAACATAACACCCAATTCAGAAAGTAATGTAGTTGATTGCCAATTTTTTAAAACTACTTGTAAATTTTGAATATAGTATTTTGGTTCAAATCTATATAATGTACGTATTTTTGTTTGTTTATTTTTTTGGACTCTATAATTCAAAATTTTAGGGTGGTTTAATTATAGCAATTACAATTACAAACTTTGATTTTTAATATTGTATAGAATTTATAAATTTATGATTATGCTTATATATTTTTAAAAACATTGATTATGCATCCATCTATCAAATGCATTAATTCTAATTTTAATTCGCTCATTTTTATAAAATAAAAATTTAAAAAGGAATTAAAATTAATTTTCTTTAAATTCATATTAAAAAATATACACATTTTATTTTCATTTTCATTTTTTTATTTTACTACATTATTTTAGTTTTTTCACTTTACAACATCTATTGACTTAATGAATATAATAATAAAATCAAAACTTATTCCTATCATAAAACCAACTAATCTAATATTAACATGTTTGAGTACCTTAAAATATGTACAATTGAATTGATCCTTTAAATTTTGTTTTATGTATTTATTTTGTTTGAAGCTTACATAAACATTATCAATTCTTATAATAATTCAATTAAGATTTTTTTAATATTATTATAGTATTTGAAACAAACTAACACAATTTCAAGTTTAAAATAGTAGTACTTTACAATGATTTTAAAAAAGATAAAATCATATATTATTTTTATTTTTATTTTTTAAATTTTGGTCCTTCAAGTAGAAGATTACTTATTTTTTTACCTTTTTCAAATATGCATGAAATTTTATACTATATATATATATATATATATATATAAGTAAATAAGAAATTGCTAATGTCACCACAATTTGCCACCCACTCAACATGTTTCTTTAGTTTTTTTTTTTTTTTCAGTAAAAAAATTCTATTAATATTTTTCATACATATTTTTCCTTTTTTTAAACACTATACCAAATATGTATTTTTTATATATTTAATTTTAATAAAAATAATTCAACTTTTAATAAGAATGAGTTTTAGTGACAAAAGCAAAAATTGTGATGGCCATTAGCAACACTAACTATATATGTATATATATATATAGATATATATGGGTGATTTAGATTGTAACCAGTCTCAACATATCAGGAAGCAAGTAAATCTTCACACAAAAACAATCATCACCACACAATAACTAAAACAAGACAAACAAAACAAAGTTGCAATGGATTTGGTTTTCTAGCAACACGTTCTTACTGAATTTATACAACCCTAAAGAATTGAATTGAACTGAATCAAGTCAAGCATTCCTCTTGCATCTGCCATAAAGTAACCTCAACACCAACAACAATAGCAATTACACAAAACTATCTACACTGACCTGTTTTGTGCACTCACACTCAAGCTTTCTCATCACATCTTCTTCCACGACCTCTACTTTGGCATGCTTTGCCAAGCAAATACCTTCACATCGGCAGCAGCAGCAGCAGCAACTGCGTGTGTGTTGTGTGTGTGGATCTGCCTCGTGGTTGATTCAATTTTGCAAGTTCTGAAGCATCCGAACAGGAATGCAAGATGGGATTGTGGCCTGTGGGTTGCGTTGCAGCGGGCTGTTGTTACTCATCCTTGCTCGTACAAGCGCATCTAGTTTTCCTAGATGGGTCGTTGTCGGATCCTTGTGCGGTGTGTGTATCTTCGTGGCTTCATCCAAGATGGGACATTGCCAGATCGAGCCGCGGAAAATTTCTCCCTGCTACGTGCTTTCATGTTAGCAGCTCCACTTGCAACATGTCGCATCGTTCGGTCTTTCCCTATCTCTCTATTTCTGTCTTTTTTGTCGATCGTGGTCTGTAGAAGTGTGGCGACAAGCAACAACGTAGATCGCAAGTGCACACGTCAATGCTTTACCAACACGTGACGCAAGAGCTACATAAAAAATAGTATAGATGAGTGAGTGAGTGAGTAAATGAAGTCTTGACACCATTAACGTTGATAATGCTTGGCTTTGAGAGTACAGTGTCGCAAAAGGAAAAAACTGGGACATTGCTTGGCTCCTGCGGAAGTTGTCGTTGCTAATATTAATGTGCGGCGAAGTTAAAAGAGGTTAAAATTGGCATGGAATTATTTCTCTGCATATTCACTCTCAGTTTACGCCAGATTCTCCGCAAGAATTGAGAAAGGAGGGGAATAAAAAAATCTCGAAGGGAGCAGAAAGGTTTGAACGACGAGGCGAGGCGAGATCCAGATACGCTTCCGAGGCAAGCGAGTGTGATCTGGCGCCGAGAGGGAGAAAGTGCGTGAATGGACACACCCTCGCAAGCATCTGCGACGCCCCACGTGGATCCAAGGCGGGGCCGTTGAACCAGCCATGGAGAACGTGTGATCGGCTGATTTGTCGGGACATAATCTCCTCCTCAGGTGGCATTCCGCATTGCTTGTCAGAAGACCAAGATGTCGATGCTGGTTTCCGCCAACCCGCACCAGGCACTTGATTGACAGCTAATCCTATTCGGCCCGCATTTAATTGCCCAAACTAGTCCACTAAGGAGCCTGCCCTATGGATTTGTGCGACAACTCCGAATTGTTAATTAAACCGTTTGAAGTCTGTTTGACGAGGACGCAATAGATCCGGAGGCCTGCGAATGGGCGTGGCACTCGTGGAAAGGCTCCGAAGTGAGGCTATTGGAAGCTTCATCCGGTCATGTAGCAACTTCCGATGCACTGGTGGATGTTGTTAGAGTGGCACTGTAACGGCTCATGATTTCGTGGGCTTTGATTCTTGAGGAAAAGAAAAAGAAAGACAAAAAGTACACCCTTCGTCTTGCGTTTCTCAAATGCAGACCCACCTCGGTGCTCTGCTAATTATTATCTATTTGTAGATGTGAACTTATAAGCTTGGATTAGTTTCCAGCACCAAAAAGGGCTAGTTCCAAAATGCCCATCTCACGCATCTTACGCATCGTACTTGTTTGGTAAATGCTGTTACAGAACAATCTTCAAAAACCAACGAAGGGTCTTGTGGAGGACATCATACTCTTTGTGACAAAATTGGTTGCGGCATCAAAAGACCGGTAACTTTTTTTTTTTTCTTTTTCTTTTTCTTTTTAGCACCTCGTGATTCGTAGGCATGCTCTTTATGAAAGAATGAACGATATCACATTCCTGCCTAGGATCACATGACTTGGTTACTAGACACTTTTGAATCTGCACTTTCCTTCGCCGATCCTCGTCTCGTCACATCCTCAACGTGGTAACTTCACGAATCACGCCATTGTTCACAAGAAAAGTCCGTCACAATTCACCGCTATTAACCATTGTTTGAGCTATAAATCAAATACCATTGTGTTTAAACTTGATTTGAATCTGATTTAAAGCTGGGGGTTGTTGTTCAAGGGCGACTTCCTTCGATGCATACTCACAAATATGCCACATAATTCAGGTCAAGTCTTCTTTTTGGTTTATTTTCTTTCTCTCTTTCTTCACTTATTGTTTTAGTGCCCGTCTATTCTCGAAGAAGAAGAAGCATGACCTGTTTGTTCTTATGCTCTTAACTTTCTCTGACTTGATATATATATTTAAGAGAAATACATGCAGAATTGTTGAGAGCATACTACAATTGTATCGTACAATAGGCTCACCAGTTATTCTACTATGAAGACAAAATAAAATATCTAAATATACAAACCACCTAAAAAAACATAAACTAATTGACTGTAGTGATTTTCAGAAGAAATGGTCTGACATACTCGTTGTTTTTTTCTCATGAAAGATGTAAATGGCTATTCAAGAGAATTATTCTACTTCCGTGCTTTCCTCTGAATGTTGAATCTGTGTGCGCGTCATAATTTCCTTCCCACACTCCGATGTTCTCGAAATCAACGAGGGACACACACACTTTTACTCCGGCATGGGACGTGAGAAAAGCCTGGGTGTCCTTGGAACTGGTAAGAATTTACCTTTTTGTCTTTCATCCTTTGAATGCACACAACTCATGGGATCCTCTCCTTTTCCTCCCTTATTTTTTTTGCTTTTCTTTGATATCTTTTAGGTTGCAAGTTGGTTTTTCTTGTGTGCTGTAGGTGTGCGGCGAATGGTACGAAGTGCAAGCTGGTCGAAATTGTGTGCAAACCACGTTGGTCGATGACAGAATCGTGTAAAAGAGATGATCTACGAAATGAGTTACCGCACTGTCCTTGACTATGTCATTCTTCAGGCGGCGGTCCCTTCAAATCGACAGCTACAAGGCACCAAATGCAGTACCAGTTACGCCGGAGACGGAAAGTACCTCGCCCACTGATCAACCCGATCGTCGTGTCCCTGTTCCTGAGTTACTACCTGGTAAACTCTTTCCAATTCTTAGACCCACAGCCATTCGATTAGGCTTCGTCTCGTTCTTCCTGGCTGCTGCCATCGATTTGTTGCGGGAGGAGGAGGAAGAGAAGGAGGGTTTTGTTCTTTTTGGTTGCTTTTGTTTTTGTGCACCTGCAAACCCCACCGTCGCGAGAGCCTGTGAACTCAAAGGTTGCATTGGGAGTGTGCTCAAGCGCGGCGTTAATAGTCGTGGTGGCGAACGACATCCCAATAATCAGGTAAAAGCTCTGACTTCGCACGGAAATGAAGATTCTTCGACCTATCGATGAGAAAGTTTCACTCGATCCTGAGGCCTGGTGACTTTTCGATCGATACTTTGGTGAGGGGCCGTGGCACCGTGCAGCGATCCGCCTGCAGTTGTGCAGTCTAGGTGTCCAGAGTTTGTTGGCTATTCCTGACACGTTTGCCATTACTCCTCGGAGGTTGATCGAAGTCGATTCATCGCGGTACAGCGAGTCGTGGAAGAGCATGAGTGACCATGGTGAGGTGGATCGGAGACGAAGTTACTGCAGTAGTTGTAATTAAGGGGGTGGGGGCGACCGAAGCGGTGATTGATGAAGCGTGCGTGAGGAAAGTGTCGTGGGGCTGACGAAGGTGATAATCGTGCATAGCTGGTGCTGTTGGTTGATGAGGTGGTTTAGGTTGATGAGGATCGTCGGTTACAAGTGCATGCAGGTGACCAAAGAGCGTGTGTAAGCGTGTGCGCGGGTGCGTGATGTGCAGAACAATCAGCTAGTTCTAACGCACTGTTACTCTTGCGCTCCGTTTCGATCATGTCAGGTTTGTCACAGATCAGGGCGCTGCGTTGAATTAGTGCTCTGTATTAAGGAGGGGGGCGCTGGAGAAGAGAGGGCGATCGTCTGCAGCCGCATCCTAACTTTGACCTATTTTGAAATCGCGGTCTTTAGATGTTTTTTTTTTATTTTTTTTATTTTTTTATTTGTGATCCTCGAGGTTGAGAATTCGTGATTAAGGATCACATTGCCTGACGCTTGCACGGTCATATTTCTGTGCAATCTGTCTGTTGCTGTTAGGTTCTCTAGCGATTGTAGTGTGGGATTGAGGGTGTCGTTTGAGAGATATGGAAGTGCTATTGGTGAGGGCAGCTGTACCATTTCCTTGCCCTCGAAGATCGCAGAAATCTGCCGAAGCGCCGGAGCCCCAGAAAGTCCGTCAGTCCAAGTTTCTCACGAAAGACAGATCTACGGAGAACCCCACTAAGCCGTCAGTGGCGGCGGCCGCAAGCAACTCTTCTATGGATCCCCAGATTGCCCCCTCTGCTTCTGTAGCACCGCATCCAGCGTTTCCACTCAGGTTTCCGTGGTTTAAGGGAGGCAAGAAGGGTGTTGCCAGTGATGGAACTACCATGGCCGCTGCTGCCGCAGCTGCTTGCGGGGATGTTGCGTCTATAGCATTGTCTGCAGCCCATGATGGCACGACATCGGAATTGGACGCCGAGGAGAAGCGCACCGTGCACGAGGTTTTGTCGACTTTGCAATCGCCCGCCACGGAACTCACTGCGCTGGAGGTGGGCGGCATTAAGAGCTTAAGTCCCGATGAAGCCGTTGTGGACGAGACTTCGGGGTCGATTGGGAGTGACGAGCTCTCAAAAGCTGAAGCCCAGATTGCGAGGAGCTGGTTACACAACTTTATGAGGGTCAAGTTGTGGAACAATAGGCAGTCCAAGACGACCACGAAAGCACCGCGGAAGCAGAGTCAGAACGGGGTCGATCAACCCTGTACCGATGTTTCGGAAGCAGAGAGTTCAGAGAGCCCTGAGAGCGTGGATTCTTGTGATCCAGTGCTTGAAGGTGGCGTCGAAGCTGCATTAGGTTGTGCCTGCGATGAGTGTTCGGTTGATACGGATAGTGAGAGGATACCTTCTGGTGTAGATGAAGTCCAGGAGATCGATCACATCAAAATCGTGCATAATCAAGAGTCGTTTTCAAAATTTTTGCAGCCTGTCTCTGTGGGAGAGCTCAAGGCTCTTGCGCATCTGTCCTTTCTTGCTAACTTAGCCTACGCGATTCCATCTATCAAGGTATAAGGCTTCTTGCAATTCTTTCATTCGTTAAGTATCCCATATTGTTGTAAGGTAAAATTGTTTTCACAGATTGATCAAGCACGAACGACTGTTTCAAGTAGATACCATTTATGTTGTCGTCTGTATGCTTTTTCAAATTGTGCTTGGGTCTGGTCAAAGACACACTTCTGGGATTTCGTTGAGAGGTGGAATATTAAATTGGGTTTCTTTGATCCTTTTATTCCTTCTGAACAGCCGAGTGATCTATTAAGGCTCCACGGTTTGCGTTTCATCACTTCGTCGGTACATTTAAAAGCCGCTGAAGAGAAGGCAGCCCTGGAGAAGGCAGCAAGAGAAAAGGCAGCACAAGAAGAAGCAGCTGCGAAGGAAATTGCAAGACTTGAAGAGCTGGAGCAATCGTCGCCATCTCCTGAAGCTATAAGCGCTAGACCAGTCAACGTCCCTAAGCATTCGAGAGTATTTTCTCTTTTTAGAAATACAACTGTGCATGAATCAGAACCGCTGCCGAGTAGTCTACCGCTGATGGACGAGCTCTGTGTAGAGTGTCAATCGAAGTTAGTATCACCTGTTGACACAAAAGTGTCTGCCAATACATCAGACTCTCCTGTAGCGCCGGAAAGTCATGAGGACATCGTTTCAAGTATATCGGCTGAAGCACAACCCTTGCATAGCTGCCCTTGTGACTGGTTCATCTGCGAAGAAGAACTTTCCAAAACACTCAACCTTTCCATTAAGGTATGTAGAATCACTACAATTTTGTCTCGCAGATGGCACCCAATCTATAAGATTTCCTTGCGCCGATCCTACTCGAAGTGAATTTTTTTGCTGAAAGAAAACGTTGGATACAGGGGTCTGATTCAGTGGCATCATGGCAAGCCAATCTACTGTTTGAGCCGACACGGTTTGAGGACCCAAAGCTTGGGGTGATGGTACATCGTGGAATCTACGAAGCAGCACAAGCATTGTACAAGGAGGTGTTACCTTGTGTACTTGAGCACTTGCAGAAGTATGGGAGCGAAGCAAAGTTCCGTTTTACTGGCCATTCATTAGGGGGTAGCTTAGCGGTTCTTCTCTCTCTTATGCTCCGAGTTCGCGACACTGCACCATTGGATTCCTTGTTACCTGTTTATACATTTGGATCACCGTTTGTGTTATGTGGAGGGGACCATTTGTTGCAGCAGCTGGGCTTGCCTAAGGACCATGTACAGATGGTGGTAATGCACAGAGATATCGTCCCCCGAAGCTTCAGTTGCGAATATCCCGAACATGTCGCGGAGGTTCTGAAGCGCGTTAATGGAACTTTCCGTAATTATTCTTGCTTAAAAAAACAGGTGCTCATCCTTCACAACTTTCTCCCATCCTAACTTTCTTTGCAGAAGTTGTATAACACTCATTAGGTGAGCATATTCAGTGCTGAATTTTGACGTGCCCAAATTTTCCATCTCTGCAGAGATTGTTGTATACTCCAATGGGAGCTATGCGCGTAGTTCAGCCACCTCCAACTCAAGCGCCGGGACACCCGTTTCTGCCACCCGGCAGCGGGATCTACGACATCTTGCACCCAAGCTCCTCCAAAGCAGATGAATCTGGGAATTCGCCACAGGAATCCATGGAACTTCGATCTGCGCAGAGGGCATTCCTTAACAATCCCCATCCTTTGCAGATTCTGAGGGATCGATCATCTTATGGATCCGGGGGCAGTATTTCCCGCGACCACGACCCCCGCAACTACGACAAAGCTGTGAACTACCTGCTGCGACAGGAGCTTAGGAAATTGAGGAAAAGCTACAAGACTGAGAAGCGTGTGCAGATATGGTGGCCGTCTCTTGCATCAGAGATTGGTGTGGAGTTGATCAAAGGCGTGCTCACCTCAAAGATTGCAGATTCAGAGCATAGTGCAAATAGTGGCTCAATTGGGGCTGCAACCTCGGGGTTGGGAGCTAACCATCAGGAGCTGCGGGGATGTGGAAGTTTGGTAAAAAGTGTTCGGAGCGTTCCCTCGGCTAGGAAGACATCATCAGGATCCGCATTGGACCGGTTGAGTAGATACAGCAGGTTGATTGCTTCCAAGCATGTCCACATTGGCATGCTGCTGCTTGTATCGGCTCGTGTTCTGTTAATGCATGGCCTTGCCATTTTCGTTGCGTGACTTCCAGTGTCCTTTGAGAGATGTCTTACCTTTGCAGCAAAGTTTGTCTCAAATTCTCCGACTTGTTTGCCATGTAGTGGGTTTGAATTGTGTAGAAGTTTCATATCCATGTGCATTATCCCACTTCTGAACACAGCACATGCTCTTCGCAAATGAAATATCTAAACAATCAAATTAGGAACTTTATTCCTGTCACGCATTCCCATTTGCAGGAACTGTCTGCCTGTTCCATCCCCGTTTAGCTGTCAGTCACACTCTATCATGCGCTCGAAGTCCTAAATGCGAGGCAGTTTCCCTCTCCACTGCCGACAAATCCTCGAATCCACTGACCCAGAAGCTGAAATGGGACAAGTATCTGGATCAGTGTGTTTTCCACGGCATGGGGAATGCGGACTGTATCACATTCTCCATCATTACGTGATCATTCAGGATTGGTACCAGCTTGTGTTGTGTAGTTGTCATGCCCTCAGTCTCACAGAGCTTTCTCTAATCTCCCAAATGACTGCCTTTGTGCCCTCCTCTTTGGATTTGCCCATCAGCCACTGCTAGAAATGCTAGGTCCCCGCTTATATATATATATATATAGATGTTCATTTCTTTGTTTTGTATTGAATGAAAAAATCATAGCGATTCAAGTTGGTGGTTGTTGATTCAATCTTTTGTGTGATTCTACTAGTTGGTGAAATTTGGCAAATGCCTTGGTTGTTGGATTTCATTATAAGTTTATATTTGTTGAATTATTCCATCATAGATATAAATATTCTTGTTGATTCAACTATTATTAATGCAACCACAAATAAATTACCTCTACATTGGGAGTTGGGGAGGATAAATATTTGTTATAGATGAAATTTATAGTAAGTGGTGTTGCAAGTTTAATACCTTTATACCCTTAATCAAACAAGGATTATCCATTACATGAGACATTAATTGCATGAAGCTCTAAGAAATTCTTTCTAGTTCTCTAGGGCTTAAACATATCCTAAACAATTCTAATGTAGTGGATTTTTTTGACAATGGGCACAAGATGAAGGTCTCGCTAGAGCATGGCTGTATATTTGAAGGGAATATCCTTGTGGGCATTGATGACATTTGCTTGAAGTTGCAAGCCAAATTATTGGGAGAAGATTTGATAGTGTACTTGGACTACACTTGCTACATAATAATCACTAATTTTGTGCTTGACAACATTATCATCATTGGTTATGGTGTCTTCCTTGGCCATAAACAATATTTTGTATCCTTGGACATGGATTAAAGAAAGATGCAATCATATGCCTTTTACAACAAACTTACTAGCAAGTTAGATGCTCTAGATGCTAGAAAAACAAGGTTGATGTTGTTATTCAGAGCATGGTATCACAAAGTGGTAGATCTTCTTAGGAAACTCTAAAGGAACAAATTCTATGTCTTGATATTTATGACTAAGATCCAACTCTAACCTAGAGTAAGGATAGAGTAATGCTTTTTGGTGATTTGGTTCATACCATGCAATTGAATCTTAGTCAAGGTGGTTATACAACAATCGAGGTTGACTTCCAATTCGCTTTGGATTTGTCAAAACCTACTCAACAAAATTCACTCAACTTATAAAAAATGTTGAAAGATTACTAAGGCAAGAAGAAGACACGTGTAGGGGTAATCCATTGTGTAGCAAACATAGTGGCTATTATGGCCAACACATACAAGTTCTATCTTGGAGAGGGCATTGACATTGTGTCATTCATCTAAAAACTCAAAATCCCTAACTTTGGTTGCATGAGAGGCTGATTTTTCATTTTGGCATGCAAGCCATGCTCAACTAGGTTCTCATCAGCAATAGCTTTGTGCTCATTTTGAAGCAAAATGTGTTGACATTTTGATTGATGTTGCTCATTGGCTGCTTGATGCTCATCAAATATAAACCAAATTATGTCCACCATGTATTTCACTAATCATTAGAAACTTCAACCTTGCATTAATGTATTCCATAATTGAGATATAATCAACCTTCTGACTTTCAAATGTTGTGAATGTTTGTTCTTCATAAGCTTTATTGTGTGCAATTGTGCAAATCACCAAATGGCCAAAATTGCCAAAAAGTATTAGGCCAAAATTTGTGCAACATTTTATTTGGGCCCTAGATACACCTAAAAAAGAAAGAGTGGTGATACCTTATGATATTTGAAGGTAGATTTACTATTATTACAAAAACAAAATATAGATTTGCTATTATTACAAAAATAAGAGATAAATTTGCTATTATCAAGAATACATGGATGTTCTTAATATTTCAAGATATTTGAAGAGTATATATAATAATTTTCCTAAAATCAAATAGATTCACAATATTTTTGGTATGTTTGTTTATGTGAACGATCCAAAATTGATGAGAATAGCGTAAGGATTATGAGCCTAGGAATAATGAATCTAAAAAAATATATTTTATCACATAATGGTATAGTATATATACATTAAATCTATCAAAAGTAATAATATAATTCTCTTATGTACAAAAAAGTTTAAATCACAAATCTCATTTGTATTATAAATTCTTACTATTTATTCACCCCATAGTCTCTATGTAATGCATATATATATATATATATATATATAATTGCTTCTAAGCTTGAAAGACAAAATAATATGTTTCAAACTAAATTTTATAGATAATAATTTTATATTTAGAATTTAAGGTATAAAAATTTATCTATAAAATTATACTTTATTCATCTACGTTATTTTAATAAATTTTGGTGTAAAAATTAGCCCATTTATAATAACATATAAAATCAATACATTCTATAAAAGTAATATAAGATGTTATCTATTTATTTATTTATTTATTACTAAAATATATAATTTAATAAGTATTTAAATTTATATTTTATATTTATTATTTTATTTATTTATTAAAATAAAGATACAACAAAATAATCAAAGTACAACTTATAATGTTAATAAAAAAATCTATATTTGATCTATAAAAGAAGGAAAAATGATAAATCAAAATGATGAATTTAAAGTATTATTTTTTTTGTAAAAGTATATAAAAAAATTCTATCACAATGGATAAAAAGAAATTATTAAATTATTTAAAACAAGACAAAGTAATCAAAAGTAGTTAGTTTATAGGATTCCTTGTTATGGTAATTTATTATAAGTAATAGATATTTATTTTTTATTCATAATTATTTATAAATTAATTATATAAATTAATTAAGACATCAAAAGTAATAAAATATATTGATTTGTAGAAATTGAATTTTTATTTATTTTAGAAATACATATATTTTATTATATACATGTATGTATATATATATATATATATATAGAAAGTACTAATGTATTTACAAGGGGGTTTATAGGCTTGAGAAAGAAGATAAGAGGCTGAGATTTTTTAAAGCTTGTAATTGGTTGAGTTTGAAAAGCCTCCTTTAGTCGTTTTTATATTTTAAAAATTGAAACAAGAGGTAAAAGAAAGAAAAAACTTAAAATAGAATTTATTGTTTTTTTTTTTAATATTGCATGAACAATGTTTTGTTCTAGAATTTATACTAGATCCACCTTAAGGTGGTTTTTACAAAACTTTGATAAGCCACATGATAAATTATTAATTATATCTATTAATATATTTAAAAAACATTTTTTAAGATTCTCATTATTTTTTAATTACTAAATTTATAATTGTCACAATGAAGACTTCTATTTTTTTTTATTTAAAATCATAATAGAAGAATCATTTGTTCTATGTGATGGAATCTTCTTGCTTTACACTATTTATAATGGTCAAGGCATTTGAAGAACAACTATTTTTTCTTAAAAACTAGGGATCTTTGTAAAGTTTTGAATCATAGAATTTTGAAGTGGTTTTCTAGGTCTAATAATCCCTTAAGATCTATCATTAATAATTTATCATTAACAAGACATTCCATAACATTAAAAAGAATATATGAGCATTTATCATTCTAATTAATATGATCACTTAATATTTCAAAAATTATTATTACATTCAACAATAATACTAAAATTTACACATATCACGTTTATTTTTTATACTTAATTTTTATCAAATAGATGACTTTAGAGCTTAAGTATACAAAATATATAAAATGATCAATCTACACAAACTACTGATGACTACAATTTCGTCAAAAATAATTTTTAGTTTTTAATACATATCACATTTAAATGCTTTATAATATTTGATACTTACGAAAAAATTACCAAAGAAATAGTTGACTAATACATAAAAGCTACACGATTGAGTTTTGTAATTATTATTAATATTTATAACTGTATATGTTTTTAGAACAAAATTAATAAACTGAATAATTTTAAAAAATATTCAAATAAAAATAATTTGAATAATTTATTTATAATATAAATAAACAAAAAAATATTATCCTTTAAAAATAATTGACATATTATGAAAGCTTACTATTTATTGCAATTTTTTATAACATGCAATTCTTTCTGCTATGTAGTCTACTGTTAAAATTTACGAATAATAATTTGAACTCAAAAACATGAGTGTTTTAAAACCAATACCACTTTATGCATATATATATATATATATATATATACATAATTTTTTTTAATTAGGTATTTTGATAACTTTTATTACAAAACACTGGACTCTATATTTCACTGACATATTTCATCAATAGTATATATGAAGGAAAATATAACTCATATAATGTTAGAGTGTAAATGAAAAACTATAAAATATACTCTTTCATTGCAATATTACATACATTATCTACATTCATTCCTATTGTTGAACTTTATATATTGTACAACTAGCAAAAATCTTGTGGATAAACTTACAACTTCTACACATATTTCATCCATCATGATTCTAGTTGCCTTTTACAAAGTTTTAGCATAAGTGAGCTACAATATATGTATAAACACACACATATATTTAGATATTCCCTCTAAATGCTTTGTACTATTTACATTGCACTTCAACACCACCAGATGCTCCTACTTAACCATCTATGTATTTGTATAAGTGGGTGCTATCAAACTATTTAACTTTTATTATTTTCTTTATGTCAATAATTGTGTTTCAAATGCTAAACTCTTTGAAAGTTGATGATTAAAAATAGAACTAAATGAAGATCCAAAGTTAGGAGTATAATTTTTCAAAATCAATGACAGAGTGTCTTGTGGTTTAGTTCTCAATATTGTTTTTCAGACAGAAAGGAGAATAGATTACATTGACTGCAAGTATTATTTTTATTTGACCCTTGTTCCAAAGACCAACATGTAAAAGATTAGAGGTCATCAGCTGATTGCTTAAAATTCATCTGAGGATGCATATATGCTCCAAGAAGGAAATTGAAAATTTCATGAAAATGGTTGGCATTTAAAACATTGCTGGAATTTGTTGAGGCCTTCCATGTTCATTGTAAGTTTGACATATTCTCAATAGGAAATGAGAATTTTTGGTTACTGTAGAAGCTCGTGATACAGTATATAACTTCAACAAATTTGTGGTACAAGCCTAGACACGCCCGTTCTATAAATCTTTGGGCTATTACTGTTGCATAAATATTTCTTTGTAAAAAAAGTCTTTGTCTTCTTAATTTGAAACTAAACAAATAAATAAATGAACCCAGTTTTGAAAGCTTGAGATATAGGAAATCACATACTGTTCTTCAAGATCTTACAGTTAGTTGTATGAGACAGATTTTAAAAATAAGAATGGTTATTCACTGTCCATTTGAACAGTCAAAATTTCTACCAGCCCAAAATTGAATGGACGGACACTTGACGGTCAAACAGTTACCTATGCTTGAATTTACCTTCTTCATGAATTTCTGTAAATGACCCCAAAAAACGTTAGACGCATTGCCCTTGAGCCCTAGAATCGACCGGACATGGCCAATGTGCATCAAGAGCTTCGAGAATATCCACTGACACCGAATAGGGTCTAATCTTTACGGTTTGAAAACTAAAGTCAGTGTAAGTTGCTGACATAATTTCCAGCCTTCTCTATTGAGTGATAAGTTCACACTTCCAATCATACCTGTGGTCACGCTTTCTATGAGCAACGAACTGCCTTCCCTAGACTGTCGGTTGACAACTACAGACTACGTGTTTACAAAACTAATTTAAATTTTGGAGAGAATCCAGGAAGGCTGCACAATCGTCCAAATTTTGTTCTTCCACAAAAGAACTACCTGATTGCACTAAAACTCGGTTGAACTTTGCAGCATGTTTCTTCTGCTAACTCTGGGATGCAATTTTCCAGGACAGCTACACCTCACATACATGAGTATCTGATTTCATGGGCCTTTGAGCTCGGTCGACATTTCTGTCACTGGCCATACTTAGGAAAATCTGCTCTAGTGTGCTTTGGCTCACACTGTAGTCATCAAGGTCAAGATCATACTTAGCTTTTTCCAAGGATGAGAAGACATGCGAAAGAGAGTGGCTGTTTCGAGGCAGTGAATACTTGACTCTCAGCATACGCTCCTCCTCCAGAACGGAACCTGGAAACTCCGACTTCATGAAGTGGTGGAGATCAGTGAGGGAAGCTGCGCGTGAGCACTGTAACTCCACGGTGTAGCCTGTTACATTCAATCATGCTCCACTATATGAACACAAATCTCGTAAGAAAAATAGAATGGGAGTTGGTTCAGCTTTTGAGAAAATGAAATAAGGGTAAGTATCCCTCACCTTGACCAAACTGAGACTTGATGTGTTGGACGGACCCTAGACAGACCAAGCTGCCCGCCACCATAACGCCTACGCGCCCACACAACGCCTCGCACTCCTCCATGCTGTGGGTGGTGAGAACAGCGCTCATGTTCTTCTCTACCACGGCGTTTAAGATGAGGTTCCACATGGCTCGTCGCGTGACTGGGTCCATGCCACTGCTGGGCTCATCCAGAAACAGTACCGCAGGGTCTCCAATCTGCCAATTCCTTTTTTCTCATTTTTTTGTTCCCGGAGTATTGAATATGCTTCGGAAGAGTACAAGCAAGCAGCCGATAAGAAGGAGCAATAATGGAAAACAATGACTAACCATTGCGATGCAAAGAGCAAGCTTGCGCTTGTTGCCGCCACTGTAAGAACCCGCCAGCTGGTCCACGTACTTCTCAAGGCCAACAGCTTGGACCAAATCAGTAACAACCTTCCTCACACTCTGAGAGGGAACTCCTTTCAAGCTGGCATACATGTGCAGATGTTCCCTGGCTGTCATAAGGTCCAGCAATGGATTAAACTGGGGACAATAGCCTATTTGCTTCTGAGATGCAGGCAGTTTACTCAACACGGAGTTGCCGGTGATGAACACATCACCACTTGTTGGTTTTGTGTCGCCACTCAAGATTGAGAGAGTGGTGGTTTTACCTGCTCCATTTACACCTCTGTCAACATATAACAAGAACACATTTTAATGAATCCCCAAAGATTAAGAATCCAGATTATAAAATAGCCAAAGGAATGAACTACTTACAGGAAGCCAAAGCATTGTCCCGGTGGAATGCCAAGCGAGAGATTTCTGACGGCCACCTTCGCCTCGTCTACGCCTTGCCCAGGATACATTTTGTTCAGCTTGTACACTACAACTGTGTCTTTCGCCGCCAAACCTCCTTCCACTCGCTGGCGCTCAGTTCTGACATCGTCATCTTCTTCTATAGTATTCACCTCTGTATTGTCGTCATCAAAGGTAGACAGAGTAAGTTCATCTATCTCCTGTATTGCGTAAAAGCATTTGAACTAAGACCACACACTGCAGTGGTTAATGCCATATCAAATTGACTAACCTTATCATGGACATCATTGTAACATTTGAAGCCAGGTAGAGTTCTTTACCTAAGTACATGCTGGGTTTGGAAGTAGAGTGTGCTGTGAAGGAGAGCCAAGAGGGTAACCAAGAGCTAGAATCTATGATAAGTGTGAGACAGGCAAAGCCCACAGCCTCCACCAGCATCAACGCTAGCGAGTGACCGGTAACATCCCAACGACAAGGATTACTCGGACGTCCGTCCATGGTGCTCTCCAGATCCAGAGCAGCTAAATTAGCAAGCCCTTTTCCCAAGTTGTATGGTGGAAAGAACTGGTACACCAGGATCAGACGCTCACTCAAAACCTGCAGCTCAATTATCAAATACACTTCAGATGCCTCGAGCAAAATATTTTTCAAACTTTTCAAATGTGAACGAAAAATAGACAGAAGTGGTTGCAAGTCTCTGAGACAATCATTTGATTGTTCCACAAACTGTTAATTCCAGCATATTGAGAATGGGGGGAGCCTTACCTTGGTGTTCTCTAGAGAAGCCAGGAGAATATTGCTTCCAAGCGCTCCAAAACCAGTGATCAAGTGAATTCCTGCTATCGCTACCTGGAAAACAAATGTTGCAATGGAGGTTGAAGTTTGAAGATCTTTATTCTTAATTGGGACGACCAGTGTGCAGATAAGGCGCAATTTTCTACTTTCATTTGATAATGAAATAAGCTGGAAGTTGAAGATGAAAAGTTAAAGAGGGCATTTCACGATTCAGAACAACATGACGATACAATTGCAGCAACAGGAATTTGTGGCAATTGGAAAAAGTGAGCAGTACCTGGGCATTGGCATGATTGGAAAAGGCAAACGAATAGCAGTAAGTGAGGGGAACGACTGCCAAACCGAAGGCAATAAGCAGTGCAATAGCAGCACTTGCTTTTGCCCAAGACCCTGTGAAGGACTGGTCTTTGTATAACACTAGCACCAACATAGTGGTGCTCACTATAATTAAATATGTTAACATGTCCCATACATACGCCGCTGCCCAGTATGAAAACGTGGATGCTCCACTCACCATCTATAGCCACGAGAAGACAACACACAATGTAAGATGATTTACAGAGCAAGGAAATGAGTTTATTTTCACTGTACTTATGAACCTACTCAATGGTCGTAAATAGCCATGAAAATTATAGGTCATAACATAGCTTTATCACCAGGATACTCAATTACCTGCAATAGCTTAGCCTTGACCTCCCGTTCCTGAACCACGAAGACAGCAAAGCTTGCGGCACAATAGGACAATGGGATGAGTGTAAAAAGAGCAGCCAATCCTGTCAAGATGTTTTGAACAAGAAGTGCCTCATTCTTGGTAAGAGGTAAAGGGTGGCTTGACATGTGCAAAGTAGCTGAGGCATTCTTCGTTCTTGCCCGAAATGTCATTTGAGCCAACTCTTGAATCAAAGCTGGAAAGGAGTGATCTGATGTTGTATTATACATAAGAGTCACAGCGCTCGAAAGGCCATTTCCAGTTTCAGCTTTATACGACTTCCAAAGCTTTCCAATGGTTTCATCGGTTTGTTGGGAAGTGAAATTGGTCCTTGGCCATAATGTGTCGTTGATGACTACAGCTCCTGCCAAGCCAATTGAACATGAAGGACTTACGTACTGTCTAAAGCACCAGAAAGAAAATAACAAAAAAAGAATGAGAGTTCAATAGAAAAACGGACATACCAAATCGAGCTGGTACACAGAACAGAGAGCTTAGAAGCTGTTGGCTTATCTGGATGCTGTTGTTCACTGCATCATCTGGGTCAAATCTTACAAATTTACTTCCACCTTGAAGGGGCAAATAGTTGGAAGGTATGGGTCCAGCTACGGGAATTACTGCCACTGGAGGGAATTCCTTTCTTCCCGTCACAGTTCTACTATACATATCAAAATTGATCTGCAATTGAGGTCCAGCTGGGTCGATATTGAGCTTCATAATCAGCATAACAAGACCAATGGCAACAACTGGGAGAAGTACGGAATTGGCAAATGCCTGCCAAGTGAACATTGTTCCCCATCTTGTTACTCACAAATATAGCAACAAAAGAATAAAATCGAACATACACAGACATTTATCAAAACAGTTCGGCTTTCGCTTTTGCTGGACCTCTTGAAACTGCTGTCACAGGGCTGTATATCAGAAATCGGAGATCTCTAGTTACCTTCATGTCGCGCTTTGCAATAATGGCACGCTTCAAAAACATCTGCTTAAATGCACGAGTGCGGCTCCTCTTCCTCTTCTCAATTGAGAATGATGGTTTACATGAGGGGATTTCAACAGTGAATGTACTCGGTAAGTCATTTGGGGGAATACAGTGTTTTTGGTGTTTCAAAGGACTTTCGTCATTGTCTGCTAATCGTAGGAAAACCTCCTCCAACGTAGTCATTGAGACACCATAGCTGCTAACGGAGAAAGCACCCAGTTTTCCTTCTAATTCTTGAAACAGCTGCGAAAACGCAGCTTTGTTGGAGCTTGGTAACTGGAAAGAGATCTCCCCACCTGCTGAGCTGAGAGGGATTGCTTGCGGAACATAGTGCTTCACCAGCGCCGCCACAGCCGTAGCATCACTAGAGGAAAGATTGTTACGTGTCATACGGAGGTTGTACCCAACGCCAAACTTTGATTTGAGAAAGAGACTGGTACCGCAACAGCGAAGTCGGCCCTCGCTCATGATGGCGATACGGTCGCACAATAAATCAGCCTCGTCCATGTAGTGTGTGGTGAGGACAATGGCTCGGCCATGTTTGAAGCTTCTTAGAAGGTCCCACACACTGCGTCTTGACTGGGGATCTAAACCACATGTGGGCTCATCCAGAAACACTACTCTTGAGTCCCCTATCATAGCTAGCCCCACCTGCACCAACAGTAAGGAAAATAAGCCAGGGATTATTAAAGCAAGGAACTGTGGTATAGGTTTTTATAGAAATCTCAGAAAGTAACAGACAAGTCATGGAAACAAAAGGTACGAAGCAATTGGCGCAATTCACAAGTTATCGATACCTGCAGCTTTCGTTGCATGCCTCCGGAAAGACAAGCTACGCGCGTTTCGGTTTTTCCCTTTAATTCGAGACTCACAATCATGTCGCCCACAACAAGAGGGATAGAATGTCTGGGGACCCCTTTCACAGCAGCATACAATTCCAGATGTTCCTTCACGGTCAAGTAGCCGAAGAGAACATTTTGTTGAGGGCAAAATCCAATGATCCTGCTTGATCATGCATGGTGTGGGTATTCAAGAGTTAGCTACTTATATAATTGTTGATTAATTTAGACAATCCACTTTCATTTACTGTCTCACAAGATGAAAATGATGGTGAAGAAAATGCACCTTCGAACGTCATTCATGTTGCTCAAAATGCTGTAACCCAAGATTTTTGCATCTCCACTTGTGGGCTGGATCATACCCGTAAGCATGGATATAGTGGTACTCTTCCCAGCTCCGTTGTGACCTAAGAGAGCCGTAACATTGTTCTCGAAGAAGTCCAAGCAAAGACCAGTCACTGCAACTTTTCCATCATTGTACACTTTTCGCAGACCCTCGATGCGTATTGCTGCCTCGTCGCCGCTTGAAAATAATGGCTCAATGTCACCTTCAACAATGTCGTCCATCTCATCTGTGGTGCTCAATTTCTGCAGCACAGCGCCAGAAGTTTTTACAACCGACACATCAAAGTAAAAATTTGAGTTTAAACACGAAGAACCTAAAAAGCACATCATAATTTCAGTATCGTCTTGTCGTCATTCAAGAATCTGGACGAGTTTAATCAAATCAATTGTCGACAATGACTTCGTGATCAAGTTTGCAACATTAAGAAGCACAGATACCTGGTAAGTATCAGTGTGGTTGTTCCCTGCACATTTGTGCCAGTAGGAAGGCGAAAAGAGGAACCATGGAGATTGTCGTGCCGCGTATCCTGATGGAATCACTTGTTCCAAGTACCTAAAGCCAAAAGACAAAGATGCATAAGTATCCAATTGCCACCTAGTTCTAGTTTTTCCCAGCTTTCATTCTGGTACTTTCGAAGTCAAATTAGATACCCTTGATTTGCATATGGTAGGAAAGATGCCAGTAATTCTTTTCTGTCCAGTAGCTAGAAAGAAAAAGTGGAGGTCCTTAATCTACGGCAACTCTCTTAAATGTAATTTTCAGGTTAAGTGAGGTCGCTGTCTTACCAAGCCAATAATATGTATAGCACTGAGTCTGCCAGCAAAAGCATGAGAACTCTCCAAATGGAAAACCCATCTTCTCCAATATCTGCCCATGTTAGACCATAGCCACTTCCTTCATAGTGTGCCACAAGATCCACTCCTGCAACCAAGATCATAACAAGAAGGCTCTTTTACTTCAAAGCACCAAAATTAACATTGTTGGTACAAATATTGACACTGCAACAGCACATCAAAGAACAAGTCACGGCAAAAATCACTTCCTCAAGCAACAGTGACCTTGATAGCCATTAAATTCAACCAAGCTCACAACAATGTAGAGTTTTGTAAAGCGACAAATGTTTAGTTCAACATCCGCAGCAGATTCTCTTCAGCGTGTCTAATTTTCCCTTCTTTACTTCAAATGTGATTGGCAGAGATGAATCACCAAAGGCATATGCTGTGGGGGGCAGTAATGAAGCTATAGTTTTCCCCACAATGGCTTGTCCATTGCTTGTCCGGAAGAAGAGATATCGTGGCATCAATGCAGCAAAGAGGGAGAATATCGCCGCAATTGCTGCAAGCTTGGATCTTGAGAAGAACACCGACAAAAAAAAGCCTGCAGGGTTGGAGACACTAGAATATTATGACAAATTACGCAAAGTCTCCACAAAATTACGCACGCCATAGGAGTTAAATAGTTCAAGCTAAAAGCATGCAATCTGAAACCCAGTAACACTCTGATCTGCAACATGCGTCCTGTATCTTATGACGTTCTAAGTTATCGCAGTCCAGTTGCATACAGTACGCTCGAGGATTGTGAGAGCTCGTGGACCAAAACGACATTAATACAACGAAGAAAGAGTGATCCAAAGTGGATAGGTAATCACCAAAGGAAATCAACGATGTGGTGAAGAAAAAATACATGACGAATAGTAGACTCGGATCACTGCCAAACCACCAGACCAAAACATAAGTTAATTAGAATGAACAGCAACTGTATTGTTACGCAGAACATTTATGTGCATTCCTGTCTACTGAAGTCCTGCTCCGTCGGTGCTGAATAAAGAAACCCTTTACCTTCTATGGAAAATTGTCATAGACATGAGTATTGTCATGCATATCGAATTCAGCATAAAAGTAGCCTGCAATCCATTCATGTGGTAAGAAACAATCAGGCAGAGAACAATAGCTATCTTAGTAATAAACGTCTTAATACAAAACTTGATCTAAAACTCTTGTCACGGCCCATGTCATTATCTACAGAAAGGAATTGAATGTCTAAGAAAGCGTTCCAACAGGGAAGATAAACATGATCTATGACCCGTAGACACACGGACAGGTTTAGGGTTACCTGTCTGTTCAAAGTCTACATACCAAATAAGTCATGTGCCAAGACACAGAAAATACCCAAGGTTTTAACCCCATTGTTAGCATTGTCTGTTTAGCCCTGCTCTCCTTGTCCTCCACCATACCCTACACATGTATCCCGACCACATAAGTTCCTCTCACTTAACGTTAACTCTTGGACAATAACACAGATAGCACAAGGATTTTACAAACTGAAATTATTTGGGTTTTAACTTCCCATTTCAGAGAACTGACTGGAACTGGGAACAAGGATTCCACTACTGACCTTAACAAACATACCAAGAGGGTAAAAAGCAGTGAAGCACAACATGATCTCCAGCAATGGTCCAACCTGAAGAATCGCACCAGCCAATAGAATAAGTATACAGCAAAATATTCGAGTGTAAACTTTGACATGCATTTAGGAAGATACTGGCAAAGATTAAAAAACTGTACAAAAGCATTTTAAGAACTTACTTTATGGAAGAACTTGTTACGCATGTGTGCAGGTGTTGGAAACGGAGCAGCCCACATAGGTTTGTGGGTGAACAGATCCGCTTGTTTCTGCTTCGGGGCAAGCTGAAGAACATAACCATTGATTGCATCCTGCTCAAAAACCGATATTGTTGTGAGATACGACCAAGTTAAAGATATTTGTAGCTTTTAACTAAGAGTACATTTCGATGAATCACGCTTGTAAAATCCCTGTGGTAAACAAAGCTTACCTGTAAGCTGAGAAACCCTGAAGTATAGTAACGTTTGTAGTAGCTGAGGAGTCCCTTCCGCCGTTTGTGAAGTGTATCCCAAGTGGATGGAACTGTCGTGAAATTCATTCGTATTTTGTAGTCAACATTTCCGCCCACAATATCTAAATGCTCCACCACAATTATGGCCCATGTTGGCCTCTCCAGTTGCACTGATGTAAGTGCGTGTTTCTCAGCATCCTGGGAGGAAAGAATGGAGAAAGAAGGAAAATTTCCTTAATGACAGTTAATGTCTCTTACGTCGATGTGTGAACTAATTCATGCTTTGATATGTGGGTGAAGGCTTTACCTTTTCACTTTGGAAGATGCCACCGTAGACGTCTTTAAAAAACTGCATGCAATAGTAAGCAGACAGAACTTTAGGATAGAACTCCCAAATCAAATCCAATTCGCCTCATGTACCGTTTGTGGTAAGGGACACATTGTCTACACGACATCTTGCAAGAACACGCCTTGCGGTAAGCAGTAACCAATAGAAGGATGAGATCGTCTACTAAGGAGAAGAGAGAAGTCAGGACTACCTCGGTTGAAGTGGTCAAATACTCCACAAGGGCGGTAACCTCTGGTGTGTCAGGTACAAATGTAATGCACCCCAGCTGTAGTAGATTTCCAAGCTGCAACACACACAAGAAGATTATTTAAACACAATCAAGAAAACTTGTTTCGATTATGTGCAGACTTTGGTTGAAGAACACCCATCATAAGTGATTAGGGGATACTCCTAAGTGAGAATGGAAATTCATCACTCACGACATTGCCGAACAATCGCTGTGCGCGCAGTGCGTCCTCGAATTGCTTTCCTTCACCAGCCTCTGATACCAGTGACCAATGGGACGAGGTTATCAATCGATACTAACTGAAATGAGGCGGCCAATACTGGAAAATTACTATACATTTCGAAAGAGTGTTAACAGTCTTTGAGCATAAATTTGGTGGAAAAGGTGAGATCACGAGGAGGGTTACTCACTCAGAGTTCGTTTGAGGAGCAAATGAGCCTGAACGAAGGCATCGAAGGAGGGCACAGGCAAGGGCCCATTGTAAGCGTCGAAGGATTTAATGACAGTAGTGATTTGCATTGCGGATTCGACACATTGAAGGCTGAGAACCGCCAATGCAGGTGACATTGACTGTATATTAGTGATTGTGGACGAGGGTTTGCTGGTGAGGTTGTGAAACAGGGTTCCCCCAAAGGAGTGCCCAACTTTTAGCCGAATTAGCTCAACTAGACGGCGTAGCTCCTCGGGTGAAAGTTGCTGTCAGTTCCAAATGCACATCAAATCAAAACATGGGAAAGGAAAAAAAACGAAAAAGGAACTTTAAAAAGAAAACACAACTTAAAAGAAAATAAAAAATCAAATTTAAAACAAACATACAAACACACACACACGAACACTGAAGGTTGTTACCGTAATTTGACTGTTATTGCTGATAAGGTCAAAGCACAAAGAGATTAGGGTGAAAATTGGTGACTTCGACGGTTCACCTGCTGGGCAAGCAAGCTGGGAGGACACAGCTGCAGGAGGCTTTTGGAATTGGATAACATGTTCTCTTTGAGCATGAAAGAAATTGGCAACGTGTGATTGACGAAAATTTCGGCAACGTGGGTTTCTTCCACGCTGCGGGACCAACCCCATACCAGCAGAGTCATCAGTAGCAGCGGACTGAGTATCTCCATGATGGTTTGCTGCCATCCCCTTCTCTGCAACTCCATACGACAATATATCACTCAATTAACTTTCGCTCAAAGCCATCCGTCGCTCTCCACAATGTCGTCGTCAAAACCGAATCTACCGTCAGATGTTAGCAATTTAAAGGTCTAATTCTTGGAGGATCACGTTTCTCTTCAACATGAGCAGTTTACAGATTTGTAGAAAAAAGTTCGTAACTTTGTCGGTACATGAAAATTACTAATCCTTGACATTCTTCGCACAGATGGGGGCAGTATTGGACTGGAGCGGGACATTGAACGTGTAAACAACCGTGAGCACGCCTTCATTGGTAGTCGAGAGACCTCTCTAATGTCTGCAGTGACAGGGAAGGTGTGGTACCTTGTGAAGCCACTGACGGCGTAGCAATGCTTGCAGTTGATCTTGCCCTCGAACCGGCGGCAATGCACGCTTCTCTTCCAATGACATCGATCTGCGACCAGATTTTGCAGATCGGGGACTGTAGTCTCCAAGCAGCGCCGCTCCTTGGTCCCTCTCCATCATCTCCACTCCGGTGGCCATCGCACCGAAAAAATTGGGCATGTTTATTTATGGCACAGTCTTTGCATTCCGTTGCAGACACATTCTTTGGATTTGTGTGCTTGTGATGGATTTATGCCAGTGCACTAACAATCTCCTCCAGATAATCTCACATTATGCAACTACTCGTGCGCATTGGGTGTGAGTGAGAAAAACAAAGCGAGGTAATGTTGTGGCATTGAACTGGAAACAATAGAGCAGTCTGCAAGGTGTCGTGAGTGAGTCGCAAGAGCGCACTCGACCGACTTCAAATCATCTAACAAGCAAAATGATTGACATGGCCCTTAAATCTCCGGCAAATCTGATATCGAATATGTGAGGTTCCACGAATAGATCTGCAAATGGTTCCTCATCATGGACTCCCCTGACCACCACCAGTAGGCCCTCAACGGTCGAAGAATGCGTGTCACCCACGAGAGTGAAAGACTGAGGTAGGGCAAGCATTATTCAAAAAGGTAATCAGGAACTCAAATTGGAACAGTATGGCCAAGTGGGACACTTAATATCTTTCAAGGTGCAACTGTCGAAGGGCCAACCCTCCCCCACAAGATCCTTTTCGATGATCCCAAACGTAACTTGCTTCACCGGGAATTGGATGCCTCCAGCATCCATCCGAGAGACACGATCAAGTGCTCCCAAACAGTGTCGATCTACCGTCAAGGGATCCTTCCGTCACCTTTGTCCGTATTTACCACTCACAACCGGCTCATGAATCCCTTCCACTGGAGCTTGGGATCGAGCAATGGCTACTCAGCTGACGAAGACTAATGTTGTTCCAAGCATGTCTTTCAGAAAGGGCAAGTTCAAGAACATCGATGCCGCATCCCACCTTGCCACAGCCGAAACTCATTCCCGAAATGAAAAGATCGGAGAGAGAAAGAGAGCAATGTTCAATGTTGTCAAGGGATCGGATCTTGTCAGAATTCCCCCATCCCTGGGCAAGCACCGCGGGGGCCCCACACCAATGACAAGGCATTCACAGAACCCAAGGGCGACATCTACCACCAAAGCATGCAGCCGTAAGGGATGTTCCCCAATCGATGAGGGAGTCCCGCCAGATAATGACCATAGTTTCCAGTCCATCTAGTGAAGGGTGTTATGGGGTCATACAAGCGCGTCGCTCTGATGCTTTGCGCACCACTGGGCCAACCCAGCATGAGTTATTAGCTCTCACGCAGACTGTAACAAAACAAGACAAGACAAGAATGAGTCAGCCAGCCCTCCCCCCCACCTCTTGCCTGATCATTCATTCATTCAAGAGGGAATGATTCTGCCCAGGAATGCACCCTACTATATTCATGTTTCCTAAGTACCCAGCTCTCTCTCTCGAATGCGCACTCGTGGTGTCCCATTCCGGTGAGCTCCAGCGGCGCATCCCCCTTCACTCAGCCATGGCTCCCCACGCACGCCGCGAAGATTACCACGCGAGCCTGCGCTGTCTCCGACGCCGCAGGGGCGAATCCCCCCCCCCTCTTTTCAGGAATTGAGGTCAATTTCATGTGCTTGACACGTGTGATGCCAAGTGGATGAGTGGATGGATGATACCGTGGCCCCTGATGTTGCTGCTTTGTTCATATTGCCTCCTCATCCAATGCTGCCAGTGGCTTTGTTCGTTGGTAATGGTACTGACTCATTTTGACTGTTGGTTTTATTTCTTAAGCATGGGTTGTGTCAAGATAAAATTGGAAATATTTGAGTTTGAGATTAAAGGGGTTTTAATGTTTGGGGGTACAGGTGAGAAGCTACAATTTGAAAAAGAAAAATTGATTGGGTAAAATTGAGAGGTTTCTCTTACTTAGGAAAATTAACCAGAATATTTTATATATATATATAGGATGAGGTAGAACACTGTTTTTTCTTAGATTCTCATTGTGGAACTTATCTTTAAAAGAAGTAAATAATGTAATGAATAATAATACTACTTGAAGAAATAGAATTGTATAGAAGTAAAATCATCTTAGATTAATAAACATTTTATTTGAGAAATATTAAAAAATATATTAGATACATACTTGATCTGTAGATACTTCTTGATATGCCATAAGGCTATGAAAACTTTTATAAAATTACTACATTTTATAAAACTACTAAAGCTATTTTTCACAACTTAGACATTTGTCTTACATGCTTTAGAATTTTTATAAAAAAATTCTATATAGCTTTCTTGTTAGTTAAGTATATAAAGAGATAAGCTTAAATCATCTTTAGTCGTCTTAATACATGTCTTTTGATTTAGTCTTAGTTAAAGATTCTATATTTTTTTTTCATTTGATAATAGCCATTATGATTCATTTTTTTATTTATAAAAAATTACATATTTTCTTTGATTCTATTCTTTCTCTTTTTATTCTTATTTTACTTAGTTGTACATATATATTATACATTAGTAGTTTATCTTTATAGTCATATTCTTATGTCACAAACATAATCAATACTTATAATTATGTAGATAAGAAGAGTTTGGTAGAAGTGAAGAAAGTAGATAAATTTGATAACATCTTGTGGAGAAGTTTTTTAGAAGCTTCATAGATGCAAATTTGACTTTATGTATGTTTGTAGGTGATTTATACATTGAAAACTTGACTAATAAGTTAGCCATGTATTGCAAAGGTTGGTAATTTGTGGTAAAAGTTGGCCATGTGATGCATGTGTATAAAACATATTTTGCAAGTTAGACACATGTTTTGTAAGTTGGACATATGTAAGAGGTCCTATAGAACATCATTATATAGTTCTTAATTAGATAGTATATATGGAGGCAAAAGTGAAGTCTTCTTCATTCTTATCAATATCTTTTTTGTTTTTAGTCTTATTTTAAGAGTCTTTAGTCTTCTTGTCTTTGGCAATAGCCATTGTATTTAAAACATTATGATATCTTTGAATGAATATTTATTCTTTTCTAGTAATAGAAGAATGAATTGACATTTTGGTTGTTTGTGATTCATATCCTAGACAATTTGATGGATATTTCTAAAATTAAGTAGATGATTTGAAAGCACTAGTAGCCACTTCTATATGCATTTTTTTAGCAAAATTTTAAAAATACTAAGCTATGTATTATGTAATTAAATTATATAATATGTATTAATTGTATAATTTATGTCTTTGACACCTTGGCATATGTTGAGACATATTACTAATATTCAATAAATAAATAATATAAATCTATTTAAAATATTGTTGAAAAACATTAATATTGGAGTAATAAAATTGGCACAAAAGCAATAAAACTTAATCTTTGACCAATGACAAATAAGTTTTATACAATATATGTCTCTATACACAGAAATTAAAACAAAGGCATCAATTCATTAACAAGCTTGAGCAAATTCTTTATACGGAAACTGAAACAAAAACTTTTGTTATATCTATTCAAATATTTCCAAATGGAAGGTGTTTTCCAAAATCAAATGAAGCAATGAACTAGTGTTGTGGTAGTTCATGCTCAAATGAGAGCATTATAATGAGTTTGTCTAGCAAAAATCATGTTTGTTCCTGCTTCGATTGCTCCAACATCTGCATGATCAATTAATTTAGCCATGGAGGATGATTAAATGCAGATAGGAATCATTAGGAATTGTTGTAGTCCATGCATTCTATGCCAAAAAGTGTGAAAGAAGGCCCATTGATTTCTCTACGACATGCAAGTTGGATCCCACTTGCACTTAAAAAAGAATTTTTATAATAGCTTATTAAGTTGAAGGGTAGATTTGATATTCTCACAAAAGTAGAGTAGATTTGCAATTGTCAAGAATACAAGGATATTCTTGATGTTTCAACATATTTCAAAGGAATATATGCTATATTTTTCTTTTTTTTAATGGAAAGTAAATTTGAAGTTAAATCCATAAATATACTTTATTTGATATGATCTTCAAGTGTATACTTATTGATTGATGTATTTGATTAAGAAATTTTCTTTGTATGTAAATAACTTTCAAGTCATATCTATTGTTACTTTTAAAGACACCAATGAAAACCAAAACTTTAGATGATTATTTAATCTTGGTACTAAACATCACAAGTAACAATAGCAATTTGTGAACTACTTTCAACATAGTGTTTGTTCAAGCCCAGATTTTGTATAGTATGTGTATTCCTTCTGCAATTGTAGATTTACAGATCTTTAACTTCTCGTGATTGGAGGGTCATGTTACAATTATCAAGGTGACATTGACTACCAGATTTTTTTATCTCAAAACAATAAATTTCCAATCATGCAGAAAACGTCTCAACAATGAGAACCCAAGCATGCAAGAGTGCCAAGTATACCCGATTGAACTTGTATAAAGGAACAGTTCATACACGTGTCTCTACACACTTCTGAAAAATGTAGCAAGTTCCAGCTGTATGTACAAGGCTGTGTTCAGAAGGTGTAGTTAGCTATGGAGGCCATCACTGCCAAAAGCAGTCCCTGTCAATACATTCATGGACCTTTGTCCCTGAATGCAAATGTATTCGTGTTTCACTCTTGTCTAGGCAGAATACAATAGCAGATCACTGAGAATCTGATTTTCATCCTGCGCCAATCAATAAGTGGACATCAAGTGATACAATTGTCACAAATCTGCCATGCCCTATTCCAAAAATGAATTAGATACTCTACAGTGTGACTAACTGCATTATGAGACGTGAAAGATATTATGCCACAGTCGATGGAACAAGCGTCTGTAGTCCCAGTTGCCTAGCTTTCTCTGAATCATCGAAGTGTGGGTCATGTGGAAATAATCGTCGTTGGTCATCAGTAGGATTTGCCAACCAGTGCCAATAAATCCAAGCAGCACCTACCACAGCGGCCATTGATAGCGCTGCCAAATGTCCAAAGTATTTCACGTCGTTGGCAACAATAGCCACCCCCAGCATTCCAAGTTCTGCTAAACTTGCTAATGATACTTCTGTTGTTCCCACGAGGTTGGCTTGAGTTGCTGGAATTGCAGTTTGAAAAATCTGGGCATCCACCATATCATAGGCCCAGTAACCTAAGCGGGAGACGACCTACAAGTATCAATAATCAAAATAGATCAGAAACAGCGACTCCAAAATTTGCTCAAGAATAATGTTAGTTGATTTTTTAGAATAATCACTTTAGTTTAAATGGTGTTCAAAATCTAAGAGAATGCTGACAATTTTAAGTATGAAGAAGGATTGCAGATAGAAAATTATCACTTACCGTTAAGAAGAGAAACAAAATCAGTGAGTACTGAAGCCCAAAGGGGTTGCTCAAATATACTGCAACCGCCATAGCAAGCACCAAGGCTTGAAAAATTAATGAAGCCGCACCTGCCTGCGAGACCGCATGCACGACCACATTTATTATTACAAATTCTAAAACAAAAATCCAGAAACACAAATTTTGTGCCGATTTCTTACGGAAGTAACTGCATTCACTAAAATACTAACTGATTGTTAACAACTACAGGTACTAATAGTACCTTCAACACCCCAAGTTTGCCAATCAGCGTAGCTGAAAGGAAAGTTGCACCAAAGCCCATAAGTGCACTCAATCCTCTAAACAAGCCAACCAACGAAGGATTTACTCCTGCCAGATCACAAACAAATGTCAGTTTCAAGATTACTTAAAACAGCAACCGTGGGTACTTTCACATGTTTAAGAGAAATGAAGCAAATCTAAGCATAAAAGTTTCTTACAAAACTACAAAACTTAACTGAACAACAATCCATCTCCATTCCTCGTGTTTTAAACACCCGAAATATAATGCATGTGCCAAAATAAAGCTATTGAGAAGAAAAAACTAAACCAAATACCTTGTTGGGTAAGATACGTCGTCATCAAGCCACCTGGTGCTAAGACGGCATTGAAGTACAGAAGCACATACGCTAAACTAGCAGGTAAAACAGGTTGCGCCAAGTATTGTTTCCATCCACGTATCACAGCTTGCAGTCCACCACCTGCTGTACATTAAATTTACATCTTGCATCAATATATCTGCACCTTGTTTTACATCCTTGTATTGGCATCCGAATATAGCGACATGCATTCTCACGAGCAGTTATTGGAGTGCTCGATGCTTTTAGAACTGATTAGGACAAACAGATACATATGATATTTATATGTTAACCAACATAAATGTCTGTCAAAAGCACTAGGGTTATATTTTCGTTTATTTTCCCTTTTCTTTCTTTTTTAAAAGTACACATTAGACTCTCCCAGACATTGAACTAGCAACAAAAAAAAAACTTAATCATTGCACCTGCTTCTTCGTGTTGTGTATCTGTATTACTGCCCTTTATCTTGTCTCCAACAGTTGCATGCTTAGGACGCTGTAGAGCTCCTTTCGACAGTCTATCAGTAGCGTCCACCAGTTTAAGCTGAAATTAACATGTTGAAAATTAAAGCAATAAGCGAAATTCAATGACCTTACAGGTTGAAAATTCGTCGCTCGGCAAAAAAGAAAAAAACTCCACTTTTAAAAACAATCCAACCATTGCTTCGCACACACTTCTGCAAAATTCTTGACTGTTTCAAGATCAAGTAGCAGATACTCACCAAAATGGGAAGCGCGACGACCATTACTCCAACTGTCATTTTCACGCACAACTTTGGGTCGTACTTGGACAATAACATTCCAAAAACAAAAGGACCTGCTATCTGCAAAATATAGAAACTATCTTCAATTAATTACTCACCAAGCTTCTATCCTCTTGAGGTCTACCATAGTCTGGTACACCTTAACATACTCAAAGAGAGGAAGGGATAACTAGAACACCTGGCATCCACTCCAAAGTCAATTTAACATCAACACCAGACACAGTGCATACCTCGCAGACCAGCTCAACCCTCCGTAGAGTAGCATTTGCATTTGACAATGCAATAGGACGATTCGCGCCGGCCAGCTGTTAAACAATGAAAAAAGGTAGCGAATTTTAACATGCACGTGCATCAAAGACGTGATTCATTGACTCAAACACTCAAAAAATGAACAACATTTCTGAAGACATGACCAGTTAAACTGAAACCAATTGATCTCTTGAGATGGAAAGTTGAGGTTGTTGAAAAACGAATACAAGCATGAAAACGGTTGTTAAAAGTAGCATTCACACTCCAACTTTCTGATGAGCAGCAGCTAACAGACACTACGTAAGGATGGCAACATTAACTATCCAAATCATCCATTTCCTTGTTACATACAGTCAGCACTGAAACTCACCGAAACTACCCAATCTCTTTCAAACGCCACACCACTACCCAGTCCAGTTAGCCGCTCAACAGCAGACGCCGCAACGAGCACCAGAAACCAGGGTTGAAGAAATAAAACGGTGGCTGTGGAGGCTATTGGTGCTGCTCCACTAAGGGCATACACAGTAGCCCCTGCAGAGGCCAGCATAGAAAGCGTCTGCCAAATTATAAATAGGACTCGATGTTAGCTAGGGAAATGTGACAAAACATGAAGCAATTGCACTAGGTAACTTGAATGTGAGTAACTTAGAATTATGTATAAACCAAATAAATTCAAGTTTACTGTGAAAGAAATGACATCACTTGATATTTACACAACCAACCTGAACAATGCATAACCCTTTAAAAGCAGCCACTCGAGGCATGGAATCCAACATAGCTCCTAACCAAGGACCTGCAGCAAATATCACAAGCTGCCAGAAATTCACAGACAATGTTAGTCTACTTTCAAATTATGCTGGGAGAGGGTGTGGAAATGGAAAATAAAAGTTGTACGATATACAGCTCACATTTCTCTTCCTTCCTCAAATCTTAAAATTTGAATAAGGACCCTCAACGATTTGGTTTCAACAATCACTAAGTTCCTGAGCAAATACAGGCAAGTATGAAGTTTATGAGAACCTACCTGACTCACGAAGCTGACGACGGCAACAGGAAGGAGGGTGTGATGCATCACTGCAATGACAGCAGGCCATGCGAAGCGCCAAGTATGCTCCACGAAGCAGGAGGCAAAGTAGCTGCCATACAAGGCTGAACTAACCAAGAAACCGAGAGACACGACAAAACGTAAGAGAGTGCAGGAGCACAGGAGCTATATAGCAGATAAAGCTAATCGCAACAACAGGAATTAGAAATTTGGCTCATATTTCACTGCGGTTGTTCCAGATCCTTAGAAAAATTTACTTCACTTCAGTCTATTCAAGCTGTCGCCTCTTTAAACTACAGGCAGAAACGTTCAAGAAACGAATGGTCACAAAAAAATAAAATAATACTAATATTTACTTCATCAAGTACGAAAGGTATTTACCGCAAAGACCCTCGGGATGTGCCGGAGTTGCGGCCAACTTCTCTTGTTCCTCCAAAGATTGTACCTGGTGGCAAAACAACCCACATAAATTATCGTATCGACCTCACTTCTTTCAAGGAAGCTGACGCCGTTCTCTGCCAGATTCGCTAAAATAAATCTGTTGTAATCTAAATAACACTGACACGATTCGTAAGAGATGGTACAACTCTGATTTCACGACTGCTCATTACAAGCTCTCCAGAAAGGAATATTAATCACTTTGAAATCCCACTTCACAATTAGAACGAAAAATAACTCACAACGAATAATTCGTCCCTGTGATCTGAAGAAATGGCGTGACACAATAATTCCATTGCATTTTAGTAGGTATCAGCTTCTCCAAGTATGTCCAAAATGCGTACCTGCAAGGTAGGTAACAGGACTTCCAAGGCTCCCTCATCATCGGTCGGTAAAGACACTTGAAGTGCTTCCAATTCACTAGCAATTGTTGCATTCAATACAGCTTCCTCGCTCACAACATCGATCACTTCGGCACTAACCTCTTGGTAGTAGCACTTCTGCGATGGGGTAGCAACATTTTTTCTGCAACATCCGGCACTTCATTCAATTCTAAGACGGAAAAAAAAAAAAAAAAAAAAAAAAAAAAGATGTAACTCCATACGAATACAGCAGCGAATATCATTCTCTTAACTACTCAGTTCATTCAGACTCCACAAACCTTATCTAAAAATTGCTAAAAACACTTACGTAGAGTTTCGAACCATAACATAAAATTTAATGAAGATGATAAAAGTCGACTAGGAACTGAGCTATGTCGTGGAAACCCTAAAAAAACCTCTCTAAGATGTCAATCTCCAACACCGCCCTCGAATAAACATGTAACGATAAAACTTGACAATTCAAAGTTCTATCCCACCTGAAAGCAGATTGCAGGTCAACATGTAGCCATCCTTGTTTAAAATTTTGAACGATGTTGCATTTCCAATCTTGACTTCCTATCCGTATTCTGACGGGGGCACCGGTATGTGCCCTTCGAGACACTTCTGCCCTGATCTTTGCTTGCGGCTGACGGGAGCGCAGCGAGGGGCGTATCAAGGTATGGATCGCCATACCTATTACTTCTAGGTATCCTTTGGTCTAATTGCGTAGCCTTGAGAGAAGCCCACCCTGTAAACACTTCTTTTACCATTCAGCGAGCGTTTCAACTTATACTTGAAACCTGCCTTCTCACCAATTGATTTCCCTGGAAATGTCGTGCTTCAATCTGGAGATTCTCAATAGAACTCGTCCACAAACTTGCTCTAAAAAAATATTTTAAAATTCACAAGTCCCTGTAGAAATCACCAAATAATTTCTCCAAACTTCTCACATCGCGCAAGCTCACGAAAGAAACCAGCTTATGATACACCTCCAGTTGTCCCATAGACTTGCACTGAGCAGAAGAGCTTTAGCAAATCTCAAGAAACCAAAACTGCAGTGCAAAGAATGCGGAACCGAGCTTCAATGAACAGGCCTTCTCTTCTTAGTGCCTCCTGCGTACCAACGCCCGCCTGCAATGCGCCCCTACCACCGCCTCGTTCACAAGCACGTCCTGCCGTGATCCAGCCCTCTTTGCTTCATGTCACGTCACTTCACTTCACTTCACTCCCTCACTACGAACAATTACCAAAAATCATTGCAAGAGTCGAACAATCGCATGCAGCATCAACCAACACTCCACAGCAATCGCACCTGAACACTAATCCACATCAGAGCCCACCCTCGTGCTCGAGACTGCTCGACGGCCACACCGTCTGACGCCTCCACAGTCCACCTCACTGAGATTCGTCAAAGCAGAATGAGTGCGAAATCCACAAATCCGAGTGAAAGAAGCGAGAAGCTTCGAAGTCAATTGTGTCTCCACCTCAACTGACGCCAATCACGCACCTGGCTGCTTCATCAATCCACCCGGATCACGCAAACGAGCACACACAAGGGGAACAGGCAGTTGCGCGAAGAGCAGCGAGCGAGGGATCTGGACCGGATGATGGAAAGCAGCAAATCTGGGCATTAAGTTGGCGCAGCAATCGCGGGCCCGGTTGACGAATGGTGGTCGTGGCTCCACCAAACCGCGGTTGGCGAATGATTGCCTTCTGGCGGAGACCTATCACCGCTCTTTCCCCATTATCCAACCCCGCTCTTCCTTCTTTCCAACTCACATCCCCGTGTGAAAAAGACCCCTCTCCGTTGTGTCGTTTCTGACAACCGGGATTTTCCTCTGTCTGTTCTATCAACAGGGGTTGGACATGATTGCTCACTGTGGAACGGAGCTCGAAACTGCGAAACCACAAACCATATTCATTCCCGAAGCCAATTCAAGGTTGTGTGATTCATTTTTGTTGCGAGGTTGTGCGTGAGGAAGGGTTGAACAGGAAGAAGCTTAAGTTATCAGACAGAGCTGGTGGTTGGGGGCCGGGGATTGGAAGTGGGAACCCTACGTGGTCCAATGCTGAGTGTGTGTGGAAGTGGTGCCCCTTTTTTTCGACAATTGTGATCGCAATCCAGTCAGTGGAAGTGGAGCGCATGGAGAATCTGTGCCACCTTGACCACACCCTCGCCCTCCCCCGTTCCATCCACGGCCCCAGCCTCATCTCCACTTCACAGCCTTTTCATTTTACTTCTACGTCTAACTTTTACTTTTACTTTCAACAACTTTTCTTCTCAACTGAACTTCGCTTTGTTGAAACAGCAACTAGGAGTTGTTGACATGTGTATAATTTAAAAATACCAGAAGTAATGTGAAATTTCAAAAAGTGCGTTCGTTTTTTAGGAAGTTCGAGAGTTGAGGTATATTAGTATTATTGTTATATATTAGTAGAGCTTTAGGTTTAAAAATAATCTAAAGTATTTTTAAACTAACACTTATGTTAGGTTTCAATAACAAAGAAAATATTCAAATCTTCTTGATTCTAATGTTGAATGCAAAGTAGACTTTGAAAATCTCAAATTGAAGGGAAGAAATTCTCAATTTTGAAGTTACATACAATTATTATTATTATTATTATTATTATAGAGCTTTAGGTTTAAAAATAACCCTAGGTATTTTTAAACTATCACATATGTTAGATTTCAATAGCAAAGAAAAATCAAACAAATAACATACATTAATGCTAACATATAATAATAATAACACTAGGGAAATGTTAAATAGATCCAAGTTTTTACGAAATTGATCTACCCATCCTAGCCATTGTGAAAAAAAGAAAAAAAATTACCTCTAGATTTATTTCTCTGCTACTTGATCCACAACCAATTAAAACCAACCACATTTAACATAATTATCATATCCTTTGTCATAGGTGGATTGATTTAGTAAAAGCATAGGTCTATTTAACATTTCCCTAAAAATATTGATACGTTTTAAATATATCTTAAATTTAAAAGTACATTTATATTACAAAAATCATGTTTATTTATTTACAATTAAAAAATTTAAAAGGATGATTTTTCAATCAAATACTATATCATATATACAAATTCCTCATAATTCTAAACAAAAAATTCACTGAGTAAAAATCACAAATTATTAGAAAGAAATTTCAAATGAAGAGAGGATTTGACCTCCTAAGATTTTATATTTATTCTATACATGATATGTAATTTGTCATAAATACTTGATACCAAAAAAGTTTTTGTTTTTGTTTTTGTTTTTGTTTTTTTTTTCAAGAGATTATCTAAATTGGGAAGTTATTAATTTATATATACATTGATATTATAATTTTATGATTGCAATAAAAAAAAATGGTCTAAATTACAATGATCAAAATAAAAAATAATGTGTTTTTTGAAGTAAGAACTTATAGAGTAAGCATTTTAAAGTTACTTTATACATTCAAATTCATTAATTGTCATTGATAAAAACCTTTTTAGTAGCAAGTTGCTAACTTAACAAAAAGGGGCTTTCTTAAAATGTGTATCTTCACCCTTGTCCTCTTAAAGATTTGAAGACTTAATGAATGAATTTGAATGCAGAGGTAGATTAATTCTAAATTAAAGAAAAATAAAATAAAAACTAAGTTGTATATAATCAATAATAAAAATCAAACTAAAGAGTACAATCTAAAATAGGAATTAATTTTTTATATCATATTATATATACAAAAATAAATTCATTGAGTGCATTCTTGTGGTAAATGATAAGATCTGTTTATTTTCTCGATTTAATTTATAATATTTACTCAAATCTGCAAGTTCTTTAATTTGTAAGAGTACTTAGGTAAATGGTTTTGATTTTATTTAACATCTCTTTTCCCCTGTTTGTTTTTGTTTTTGTTTTGTTTTGTTTTGCTTTTTTTTTTTTTTTTTTTTTTTTTTTTTAGTTTTTGCATGTGGTACAACAAAATTACAGATTCTAAAATTTTATTTTAATTTTTGTACATGTATAATCTAACTACATGTTATTTCTAAAGAGGTTATGTATATAGGTGTTATAAATATATTTCTTATTATTTTCTTTCTTTTTTCTTGACACAAAAACAAGATATATCCAATGCATTAATGAATTTGTAAAGTTACACCAAAATTCTTAACTCTTTGTATCTGAAAAATGGAGTTAAGAATAATAAGAGGAAGAAGCAACTATTAGAGCTAACTTATTTATACTTTTGTGTAAAATTATACTAGAGTCAGGTATTTCAAAGTTTCATTTAATTATCTTGTCCAATTTAGAACCTAATATGTGTTTTTTTTTGTCATCTATAATATATCTCGTCTCCTGAGAAAGATAGTCTCATGTTTTGGATGTTTTGCTAGTTTCATTTTACCTATTTCCAATTGATTTGTTCATATTTGATTAGTTATTTGTAGATTAATTATTTAATATAGAGTTTACTACATACTTCATTCTCAAATAAAATTCTGTTTCTTTAAATCCACATGGTCCATGGACAAATTTTCCTTAATAAGGGTTTGATATTACAAAAATATTTAAAATTTGGAGGATATAGCTTTAAAAAAAATAACTTGTTTTCAAGTGAATGCTTTCTATTGTCCATATTTCCAAGAGTTTGATATTAATTTATATAAAACAAGGTAGCCTAACTCTTCTACAATTGCAATAGATAGATTGGAGTTTATTTGTACATACAAAATTATTCTTTTAAATTATATATTTAAAACTAATAACCATCAATAAATGTTTAAAAATTTGACAAATGAATCTATATTTAGAACATTAATTCATAACATTAGGTTTCTAATAATTAAATGAGTCTACTAGACTTTTATTAACTAACAAAATGAATTTATAGAAGCCATGAAGACTGCTAAGCCACATAGCTATATGTAATTGGGCAAGGCCACCTAGTTGTTATAGCAAAAGCAATCAACTTAGATTGTAAAGCCCATGTAAGGATGATTTCTATTAGGTCTTCAACATATGAGATCTAATAACTAATAATTGAATAAGTAATACTAATTAATGAGAAGAATAATATCTATATATATAGATATTGATGTTTTGTGAGGTAGTGTAAAATAAGAGGCTAGTTATTAAAATATAGATTTTAATTATTTTATTAAAAATAGATACATATATATATATGTATATTTATTTATTTATTTAAAAAATTACTTCATATAAAAATAAAAAATAAATGGTTTTATTTTAATGTAACTAAAATTTTGTATGTCTTACTTTTTTGGTTTATTTATAAAACTATTTTTTATTTTCTAGTATACTATAAAGTAAGCTTATTACTTTTTTTGTGATTAAAGTTGATAATTTAAATATGCAATTTAAATAATTTTATACATTATTTATTTAATTAAAACTATCATTAATATACTTTTCATTATTTTGTAAAAATAATACCATAAATTTGATATTATATATATATATATATATATATATATTATACATTATTTTAATCAAAGCAATGTAATAAAATTATTTTTTACTATTATATATTTATTATATTTATATTATATATTTTTAAATATATTTAAATCAAGTTAAAATTACATGTAAAAATTCACATAAATAATTTATCTTTTATTTAGTTTATTTAGTTTTTTAATTTTAATTTAAATTTGCATTATTATCATGAATACTAGTGGTTAAACCTATTGGTTTTTTCAATGTTGAATATGTTTTTGGCAGCCAATAAAAAATAAAAAATGGTGATACATTTGCCACATCAGCCATGTGCAAGTCGGGACATTTGCACTCCTATTGCTGCCGTAGCTACCGCCGCCATCTTGACCCAGTCCATCCCATCCCAACCCATCCCAACCCATCCCATCTTAACTTGGTTGGTTCCATCCTTTGATTCCAATAACTGGGTGACTTCGTAGTAATTGCATTAAATCTGTAACTGGGTTTTATTGCCCTATTGTTCCAACCAATGGCATTTTTTGACGCTCTAGCTAAACACAAGCTGGACAATTTTGTAAATAAATAAATATATATATATATATATATATATATATACACGTAGATGTATAATAACTTATCATTGTTGTTGTTCATCCATATAAAATATTTTTAAACTAATATTTTATACTGTGATAATACAAGATTAATCCTATTATTATTTTTATTTAAAGTTAAATGGCACACATATATATATATATATATATATAATCACTCTTATGGATTTTATTGTAATTCATGTAAATATATGGGCCTTGATACTTTATTATAACAAAGAAAAAATTGATACCTTATTGATTATAAGATATATTTTTAAAATATTATAATTTTATTTTCTGTGCAATCACATTGATAGTATAGGTTCTTCTTTGAATATGACTCATAATAGTATATTTATTGTATAAAAATATTAATTTATTAATCAACAAAGAAGACCTCAATAAAACATTATAAATACCAAAGGTAATGGAAATTGTTGGAAATTTATACATCATTTTGTAAGGTATGTGATAATAAGACTCTATCTTATTTATTTTATTTTATTTTATTTTACTATTGTGTGTGCTTTATTTTTGGTTGTAATGAAGATTTTTAGATTGATTGCAAATTTATCTATACTCTTTGTATTAA